ATGTTTGCAACACTAGTACAGTTGCCAGATGCGTGAAAACAGAATAACACATGCTTAAAGCGGCGTAGGCTAAGGCAAAACTCAAGTTATAACTAGGGTAGTCAGTAATGTTGTTGATCATATCCATATTTCGAATTTTTATTGGAATATTCTATTTTTTCCTAGATAGTTTAATCAATCCTCTTTGGTATTAATCGACCCCCTTTCAACACTCGTGTATTAATCGACCCCTGGAGAACTCTTATCGACCCCAAGGGGTCGATATCGACCACTTTGGGGACCCCTAGTTTATATGCATATATATATACATGCATATAAACCGATATGGGTATTCTCAAATGTTACATAGCGATAATATTATATTTTATCTCTAACCTGACCTAACCTATAAATGGCAGATTTTCAGCAAAACGACGAATAATGGAGTAAAGCCGAACAGCAGGGGCTCCCTTTAAAGTAGGCTATCCAGAGGAAAAGGTGCCATTTAGGAATCAAATTCGACGCATTGAAAAAAAATTAAAAAACGTTTTTTTCAAATTAAATGAATGTTTTCTTTTAAATAATAATGAAAGATTTTTTTTATCTGAAATCATTTTTTCAATTAATTCTACATTAAGAAGTTAATCATTAAGTCATCCTGAGTTTTAAACGAAACTGTAGTCTACTCAACACACACACACACAATAATACACATATATACATATACACAAACGTTTTTTTTTTCTTTATTTTCGGGTTAATGAATCTGAAAACGTAGAGATTTTCAAACGAATGGGATTAAATTTGAGTCGATTACAATACTTTTCAGTGTTATATAAACTACAGAACTAAGACTGAGTACAACGATATTTGTATTAAACATCAGACTAATAAGTGAGAAATACAGCTTTGAAATTTTATATATTAAAGATATGAAGTTAGATTTAAAACTATTGTTATTTTTTATTTAATGTAGAAGATCAAGGAATAAAGTGCTGTATGGACGACATCTTTCTTCTTGGAATTCTTCGCGCAAGAAAATATGAAATGGGAAGATCTCTGCAATTACTGAAGAATTACTACGAAATTAGATTACAATATCCTCAATATTTTAAAGACCTTCTTCCTTCCAAGTTGGAGCAAGCATTATCGTTAAATATTATGCAATTTTTGCCAAAACCCGATCAGAAAGGCAGATATGTTTTCATTTTTCAATTCAGTAAGCATTATTATGACTTTTTTATTATTATTTTATTTTAAGAAAAGGAAAAAAAAAACAAGAAAAGAAAGTGAATTAATTAATGTTAAAATTTAGCTTTCCTTTTGTTATTAATAGATAAATTATAAATATATTTGTTAGTTAATAATAGTAGAATACTTTATTAATTTATCTTATTCACACGACTTGTATATACGTATATTACATATACTATCATCTCTATTATGTTACAAGTACAGTACATATCATGCTGTATGTTACTGTTTATCGTAACTAAGTTTAGTTATAAATTAGCCTAATTAAATTTTGAATTTACCAGTAATATATTATATCAAATGTTATACGAAGCAGTTAAAGAATTTCAATTACAGTGGTGTTCGTACTTCGAATCACTGTAATTTTAAAACATTTTGTGTCTTTAAACGTCAAGTAGCTGTTAACCTAAATGAAACAAATTGTTTGTATCGTGGCTGTTGCAGAAAGTTTATATGTAGGTGGGAAGAAGCTGAATTTATCACCCAGTACAGCTGAAGTAAATTTGATTTTATACTGGAATTACATCGAAACTACCTTGATTTTTATTTATGAAAAATTTAGTGTTTTGTCATGTATTTTAATTTCTTTACTAGCCTGCAATAAGATAGACGTCTACTGACGATAAACACGACATTGCTAGGCACCATTTGCAACAATCGTACCGAATTATGCGTAGAATTTGCGATGCCCAAAAATTGCGAAAAGTTCTCTTCTGTACTTTTACTCATTCAGTTATTTTAATATCTTATTGCACCAAAAGATGAAAAGTAGTTGTCCTGATGAGTATAGAACATACTAATCCGAAAATTGATGAAATAAATTAAGGAAAGAATCTAAACATCATTTCAGATAACGATGCATCTATATGACCATCATAAGACATCAACAAACCATATGCTACACCATGAAATGGTGAAATGGATGACCAGAAGTTGTTCTATTTTTCAATATGATAGATGTGTGAATTTTGAACGCATTTGGATCGGTCTAAGCATAACCTATTTGGACCATAACTACTCATGATTATTCTGACTCCCTTAAAATGCATTTCAGCTTAAAATATGGAAAAAAGATCGAGTTTACATAATAGGGAATCAAAAGCTTGATAATTGAGTATCTTTTACGTTATATTCTTGTGATTTTAATGCTTTTCGCTTTAGTTTTGGTATGTTTGGTTATATAAGCCCTTACTTTCTAACCATGGCATTACAGAATAGCACGGAAGCAAAGAAACCTAAGAGGAAAGTTGTAACATCGACAATTAAGTTGAGAACGGAACTTATCCGAAGCATGAAAGAGGTAAACGCGTGGTGAATCATGCCGAAGTCGACGGTTTGCACCATTCTTAATTAAGAACAAAGAAAAGCTATAAAAGCAGAAAATGTTGCTGAATGTGTGACTATTTGACCTCTAAGAGATCGCATAGCAGTGAAAAAACTTATCTTAGTGTGATAAGTTTTTTCACTTCTGTTAGTGTGGCAAACAATTGGCTGATGATAACATCTCCAAGAAGATTATCCTTGAGTGCCAAACAGTTACATTGAGATTTTAAGTAACTTGACAATCATTTTTCATTAAGATACAGTAGAGGCATTTAATTTTATTATATAGTATTTACGTATTTTATTTATTGTTTTGCGTTCAATTTATTTTACAGGAATTAAGCCGTATTTTTTCCACATTAAATTTTCTCCATTTGCTGTTTAAGTTTATCGAAATGTGTTGTGTTTAGGGTATGGGAATTATTTCACTTTCCTTTATTTTGGAATGGAGAAAATTGATTTGTAATTCGAACAATTTAGAAAGGTAAACTAGAAGGAATTAAATTCGGAGTATTTGAAGTAGGATGCACTACTGTAATTAATTTCTCCTGATGTCTCTCGTTAATATATATAATCTTTTGTTATTATTGCAGGTAAATGGGATACTTCTGTTGCAAATAGATTTGATATGTTTCGTACTGTAATGCTGTTCTCTGACCTACAACTAAATCTCCATCGATCTCAAGAGAAAAAATTTGTAATTATAACGAATGCAGACGGAATATCAATATCACATTTCCTTCAACTTACACCAAGTTTTTTCAGTTCAGCAACGAATGTTTTGTTTGTGAGTAAGCCGTAATTTATACCTTATTAGTCCCGTATTTATATTTAAATTTATGTACAGTAATTGAACTATTTCGTTGTTTATTTTGAGTTTGATTAATATAAAGTATATGGAGAAAATGGTTAAAATCCTAGCACATACAGAAACAGAAATAGAATTTTATACACGATTTCCAAAAAGGAAACATGGAAACTTAACTAAAATAAATTTCAAAGTAAGTTCCAATTGTAACTATTCACTTTTGGCTATAATATAATCACGTTGGCAAAGTCACCACCACACTGAGGGTACATGAACGATTACAATTACCTTCATTATGAGTAAGTCTGAAATAAGGACGATCAGAAAACATAACAGGTTAGAGATGTACTCACGACTCATAATACTCATTACAAATTGAGGTGTGAGAACACAAGGTAGAAGTTGAATCCTCCTACAAAATCAATTCCACAAATAATCTTCAATGATATTTTACATTTAAAGTTAATAATAACGCGAGGTAGACATAGTCTACAAGAAAATATTTATTAAAATAATATTTACTAATTAAGTATTTTGATTAAATATCAAATATTCATCTAATAAATTAATATATGTTATTACTTTTTATTTATTTTTTCATTACTAGAGAGATTCGTATCAGGCTCGATTTAGTGAAATTCATTACGTAAACTTGAATATCGTCATTAAGGCCATTCTAAGCATTTTTATTCCACTTTTACCAAGTAAACTGAGAGACAGAGTAAGTATTTCTAATTATTTATTAATACAAATCAAATTTAATATTTATTTTTGTTAATGCTTTTTTTTACATAAATAAAGACACGTAAAATTTGTTAATAAAAGACATAAAATTCCTAGATATATCAGACTTTTTTTGTGTAAATATTTTAAAAATTTGGCATTTATTTTTGCATGCAAATTATTCGATATATTATATATATATATGGATAATACCTTTGATTTATGCTTATTATTAAATTCGTGAACATTTATAATAGAAATAATTTCGATAATCTTTCTTAACAATTTTACTTTAATAAAACAAATACAGTAGAAACTCGATATATCGTGCTTTTTTCTTGTTCCACGAATATTAAAGCGTTTCAGTCAATAAATTTTAAATTACCAATTGCCATTGAATTTCTTTTTGTAACAAAATACGGTATTTTATTCTATCATTTTCATTGAAATTACCACTGCAGGTGAAGCAATAAATTCGTCAAAATGTATAAACAAGCAAAACAGATTGACAGATCAATTATCATTTATCTTTTCTTTTGATATTAAAAGTTGTTTATTTATTAATTTTAAGTACCGTCTTATCATTTGTAAGCTTCTGTAAATTCGAAATTTCACATCTTTATGTGAATTGATGCAATATGGTCGCTTTACATCAAGGTATAAATTCTCGAATTCACCGCGTAATGTTTAATTAAAAGATTTCTTTATTTCTGAACGAAAAGTTCTAAAATTTTTATACAGGTGTAATTTTATTTTGTTTTTTTTAAGAAATTTTTAAAAAGAATTTTTCTTTGTCTCCTGACAAGCGCGATGTAACGAGGGGGTAATGTACTGTACTTTTTAAACACTTATGTCAAAAGTGAAGTGTTTGTGATAATTCATTCACTATAGAACATCCAATTTGTGAATAATATAAATGACACTCAGCACAACAAAATATATCACTAAACACGTTTTTGGCTGCTAAGATTCGTTTAATATTGGCTAAAGACTACTTCAGATGGAAATCAGTTATACAAGACCAAACAAAGAAGACAAAGGAAAGCATTAGAAACAAAAATATAAAACAAACACGAAAATAATTGATAGAGAATGACTTGGTCTTAAGAAGAGCAGACAAAAGCAAGCATTTGGTTATTACGAAAAGACAAGCATACAATAAAGGTTTGAAGGATTATACTAAAGGAACAAAATGCGAACAGATTGTTAAAAAAAATTATTGAATACATCGATAGAAGAGTTTAAAAACTGGAAAAAATTAAGCTAGACAACGTATTAACTTTCCTTAAAAATGTCGGAACAGGAGACCAGGGATGCCAGGATTATTATTAAAATACATAAGTTCGGTAAAGAAATAAGACCGATTGTGAAAAAATGTAGAGGTACGACATATATTCTTGAAAAACGATTTCACAAATACATTACCACCAATCTTGAGAAAAGTATATTGGTTGCACAGGACCGAAAAAAAGTAATAAAAGAATACAAGACCTCTTGTTAATGGATGAAGAAATAGGGAGAGTTATGGGGACTTTGAGAATTTGTATTCTTCAATAAAAGTTGAATCATGTTTCGCAGCATTAATATAATTTATATTTCTAAAGATCCCAGAATTCATTAATTACTCAATTGACATGACGGTGTACGAAATATTGGTATGCTATGAATTAGTTTTTAATTTTAATAATCAAATATACAGTCAAAAAAGTTGTCTGTATAGGGAGTCCCGTATCAAAATTTTTATGTGAATTAGTGTTACGGAAACTGGAAAAAAGTATTGTAAATGGCTTCCAAGCAGACAATATATACAGTATTTTAAAAGTTATGTGGATGGTGTATGTATAATTTTAAAGAATAACAAAGGCATCACTTAATTTATTGATAAGGGTAACGCAAACAAGGATGGATTGAAATTGAAGATAGAACAAAAAGATCACTACGTTTTTTGTACATAAATATAGAATTTAAAAACGAAATTTTGTACATAAATATAGAATTTAAAAACAAATGTGTACATCAAGCCAACACACAGCCCACTGTACATGAAACTAGCGGCATTCTGGGCACTCATCAGAAGAGCTTTTTTATATTGTGGTAATGAAATCGACAGAATAAAGGAGCTGAACAGAACCAAACAATTGGGCAGAACACTAGGATATGGAACTTACACGATAGAAGGTCTAATTAGAAAGTTTGGAATAACAAACCTAAGACAAAAACAGCAAATCTAATGGAATTACGAAATTTTCTTTTAACAGAAACTTAAGTAACATCATGAAAGTAATCGCAGAACGTAAAGGGTGTAGTATGTTTGTAGAAAAAGCTTAACTAGGTCTCGAATTTTAAGAAAAAAAAAAAAAGAAAAGGTAGGTGTGTCAAAAGAAAGTAAGTTGTTTGCCAAAACTGAACGAATTTCAGAAGCCAAAAAGTTGTTTAGTGATATATGTTTAATTTGTTTTAGAATCGTTTGTAATGTAGATATATAACTCAGATGCAGTTACGTTAGATTTTTGTAATAGCCTTTTTGTATTTTTTGTTACAAGATAGGACAAAAAATACAAAACTAGGTACTACAAAAAGCTAACGTAACTGCATTTGAGTTACTTTTACTTTTCTACTTTTTTACTTTCAACCATATGCTACAGTAATAAAGGTGGAAGTAAACTGTATTCGTTAAAACAGGTGATTTATGATGCTTGTATAATCAGTCATGTATATAAAATAGATTTACATAAGACATAAAGAAAATTATGATTTTTAATGAATTTTTGCAAATTTTCTTTTCTAATCAATGTTTTATAAGGAAAATAAATTTAAAAAGTACTCATTGTAACGAAAAACAATTATATTAAAGCTACACACCAACCGAATGCCGAAAATCTATCGGGCTAGGATAAGGCTAATTATTAAATGAATTACGTAACCAATTTGGCTTTAGAGGTAAGCGTTAGGCGCCATCTCTTATTAACATTAATAATTATAAATAAATAAATTAATTTTAAATAATTTAGAGCCGCCGGGAGAAAAATTCGACCCGGAGCGGGACTCGAACCCACAACTCCTGCTTATCATGCAGATACAGTCAAAATATACAGTCAAAATAGTTACTAGTCAAAATAGTCCGGTTGCCAGTTACGCTATCCGGACCTCCAGCCCGATCTCCTCTTCCAGCGTATAGAAGCTAACTATATAACCATCGACGGTTATTACAACGCCAGCTGGGGACACATTCAGTGCCCACGTCCTACGTCCTATAAGGCCCTCAACCGGCCATCGCAAACCCCGGCAAGGCGTAATATATACAAACATCGCTAAACCCGATATATAATAAAGATGGCGCCTAATGCTTACCTCTAAAGCCAAATTGGTTACGTAATTCATTTAATAATTAGCTTTATACTAGCCCGATAGATTTTCGGCATTCGGTTGGTGTGTAGCTTTATTATATATCGGGTTTAGCGATGTTTGTACCAATTATATTAATTGATTTTTAAATTACAGGTGCATCTTCATTCTGACATCTCAACATTACACGAATTTATCAGTCCCGATTATCTGCCATTGGAATTCGGAGGAAATTTGCCAAGTTTCGATCCGACTGCAGCCAATAACATGATTAAAGCTAACGAAGAATTCTTTCGAAAGAACGAAGAATATGTAAAGATGTACGAAGAACAAAGAAATAAGAATTTCAGCCAAGGCACATTTCGCTACGTTCGTGAAGAAATTGAAGACGAAAAGTTGAAGAAACTGATAGAAAAATCTGAAGAAAGATTTAAATCTTATTCACACGATCCAGAAGCATTTTTGGCTGCTATGAAAGAAGATTCTGAACTTGAAATTACACATTTCTAAGCGATATAGACTCGTCTTGTACTGTACTGTACATTCATGTTAACATATTTGAATTAAATCTCTAAAATAATTTGTATGATAACAGTTGATAATAAATCAGATATGAAATATAAATTTAAATTTCATTGATTTAAAATTTATATATTGCAAGACATTCATTTTTGGATACAAATGTTAAGAAAAATTCGAATTTTTGAAAATTGTCAATGATTTTATAATAACTTTTCTACTTCTCATTGTACATTTATCATAGCCTATTTTAAAATGTTATATTCTTAAAATTTATATTTAATGTATCTTTTCGCTGAAAAATGATAAATCGAAAAAAATTTAATAACTATATAAAATTATTCATTTCTCTTTTCTTATGTTATGTGAGAATATGTAGGCACAGTGTCAGTTTCCTAATTGCCACTTACACGTCGAGTTGGTAAAACTCGCTCATTTTGTCACTGGATGGATTTTGGAGTGCAAATTTCTAGTGGAAATCGTGTTGGTAAGTCGATTGGATTCTCGAATAGACTGGAGACAGGTTTTTAACGAATAAGAAAATAAAGGTTTAATGAATTTTTATCTCTAAGATACATCAGAATGTTTATGGCAAAATACTTTCAGGTTGTAGAAGGCTATATGCAACTAAATGCAGTTAATCTACGATTTCAAAACAAATTTTTTACAACAGGGCTAATTTGATTCTGATGAAACCGTGTTGTAGTTTACCTTGCTTTTTTATAGACACACTACGGTGACCAACTGAATAAAGTGGTGAATAATCTGCCAAGTGTTGAATAATGTCACCGTAGTGTCTGTAAAAAAAAAAAAAAAAAAAAAAAATAACAGGGCTAATCTTTAACAGCTATGCCTATTTTCGTCGAGAGAGAGAGTTCGCAGACCGCTAATAATTACCTTTATGTATTGATGAGGAGCTATTGGCACGATCTGTTACGGTTATAGAAGTATCTTAGTCCTCATCCTCTGTCTTCTCGGGAAGGATGGGGATGCGGAGGCTTAATTGTGCACTATCTCAAGTACAACTTCCACTCGATGACCCTGAGCTTTCGGTTACTCCATCTTTTATAGCATTACAGTGGGAAAGAGGTCACGCAATCGTCTTTTGTTGACGATGACTTGTATTCTTTGACG